AAAAAGGGGAGGAGCAGGAGAAAGGAACGGAAGGTGTTTTTAAAGCAAGTTAGACTCAGGCAAAGGTCGCCTCTTAATCATCAAACGAACGAAAACCCCACTTGCTCAATTCTATCATAAAAATTGGCAATTCATTTATAATAAACTGTCTATCTGTTTGTGCCGCTGGACTTCAATGGATCCTTCAGTTTGGAAAATCTTTTGCGAAGGAGGTGCGCTGGGCTTAGTAGGCAAGGAACTCTTCATGCCCCTCTGCTTCCCCTCGCTCAGACTGGTTAAGTGCAGGACTGCTTGAACCCACAGGAAGAGGACCCTTTCAAACTCACTTTCTCACTATCAAACAACGGTTTTTCCTATCTCGTTCCCCTGCATCTCCTGCGCACCCACCTCCAAACGGACTCTTCCCCCCCCCCTCAGCAACCCGCTCTTGCCTATTCGACAGATTACCCGTTCAACCTAAGCACTAAAGACCAGTCCAGCCATGCAGGAGAAAAAGCTAGGATGGACCAACCTTCCAAGAGACAAGCGGTCTCTAGAGAGGAAGTCCATCTTCTTCATCTCAATTTTCAGATGCGTCAAGGTGACCTCAACCAAGTCAGAGGCACCTTTGACAGGGTCATTTCCTCGCTGGAGAGGAAGAGTGGAATGGCGCAGGAAGAAGTGAGATCGCTTCAAGCTATATTCGACCTACCAGCTTGGAGAAGGCACATCGCAATTCTCATAAGAATAAAGCAGATAGAACTGAATTACCAACACTTTGAGAAGGGAAGACCAGCAGCTAGTGCCTTCAAGAATGCACTAGCAGGACTTGCAGAGGAGCTCTGCGACAAGCGATGCCCAGACGGTGTCAGATCCCTGCTGAGATCACTGGAATTGGACACGGCAGTCCTCCCACTGGCCAAGATAAACAAGGAGTGGGACGAGCAGGAGAACAAAGCAGCCATCAGGAGTGGGTAAGTGGCAGCGGTATACGCTGGCCATATATATATTAAAAAAAAATAAAAAAAATCAGGACCTTTAGGGGAAAATATACTGTTCCCCACGCCTTTCAGTTGTCGTGGCCTGCATTAACTAACTTCTTAACCAGTCAGAACCGATCAGACCAGTAACTCAGGTATGTTTTAACGGTTGTCTCTTGCAGGTACGGAGGGTCTGATTCGGCCAAAGGTTCCAGGAACAGGAGTCCGCAAAGAAACTACCACTACCGCAGTAGCAGGCGCTCACCAGATGCTAGGAACAAGAAGGAATGGAACCGCAGATCGAGATCGCCCAGGCGCTCAAAGACTTGAACAAGCGGCCAACGACGTCCCAGATCTCAAAACTGGCTAGATCCTGAGTCATTTTGCGCAGCCTGCTACTAAACAGGTCCAGCTGGCTGGCGGATCCTGAGTCATTTTGCGCAGCCTCCCTGACTAACCACCTAGCAGCCTGGAAAGTACTGCTCGGGTCTTCCAAGAGGAAGCATTCTAGAAATGTTCTAAACTGGCTAGAAGACGGAGTCAAACTGAACTTTCAAGGAACCAGTCATCAGGACAGAGCTAAGATAGAGGAAGTAAGGCAGATGGTCAAGCCAGTTCTCAGAGCATCAGAATTCAAGCGGGCTCTGAAGAAACTGGAACCTCCGCCGCTCTCCATCCCAAACTACCAACTTCCCCCTCACTTCTCTGATTTCGTTAACTCAACCGTGGACACCTTGCTCAAGCAAGGAGTCGTTTCGTTGACAGACTCCGCACTAGTGACTAACCCGGTTTTTGTCATTGAGAGTTCTAGCAAACTTCGTTTCATCATTGATTTGAGGTTTGTGAACCTATTCATCAGCTTCCCTGACTTCCATTACGAATCCATAGATGACGTAGTGGCAGTTATGGACGGTCGTCCCTTGCAAGACTTCGCAGTCACTTTCGACATCAAGAACGGGTATTATCATATACCGGTTCACAAATCTTCAAAGCCTTACCTTGCTTTCAACTGGAATGGAAAGTCGTATCAGTTTAACACTCTCTGCTTCGGGATATCCTCAGCCTGTTGGATTTTTACTACGGTAATGCAGGAGGTTATGGCAGAATTTAGAATCAGAGGAGTTCTCATCTTCTCTTACATTGACGACAGCTTAGTCACTGATGTAGATTTCTGTAGATGCCTGTGGAATTCTTTCATCATAACAGTAATTTTCCATAAGCTGGGATTCTTCCTCAGTCCGGCAAAGTGCCAGGTCATTCCCTCCCTGACCAACCGTTTCCTAGGATTCATCCTAGACTCGCATGAGAAAAGAATCAAGATCCCAACCGACAAGGCTGAGAAAATTCTCCTCTTACTGGATTACTGCGAAAAGGAAACTGAATTAACCTCAAGGAAAATCGCTTCGCTAGCAGGAAAGTTGGTGTCGTTAGCAAAAGCCTTTTTGGCTGCCTCTCTCTACTGTGCTAATTTTCACTCCGCATTAATCAACCGCTCATGGAAGGAAGGAAGGAGGTGGTGGGATAGGGTGTGGCAACAGATAGCCCCCGGGCGACCATGGCCGTGGGATTGGCGGGCCATCTTATTGGGTCATTACCCACCCTTCCTAGATGACATCTTCGTACTAAATATGTTCCACCTGGCCCGACGAACGATTTTGTGGATCCTGTGGTGGCAACGATGCGCACTGACTTTAGATCACGTAAGGGTAGAGGGTGAAGAAAGAAGGGAACAACTCAAAGAGCATTTTCAACTAGAGCTCTCACACAGATGGAAAACACTGAAGCAAACATTAGACAGCCTCCACAGAGTCACTGACATCCGAGAACGGCTTCTACATTTCTCTAGGGAGTGGTTGGGTGGGGATCGGGAGGGCTGGGTAGCAGAAATACGTTGGTCAGGACCTTGGGAGGGAGAAGGGGGGGAGGAGGGCGTCCCCCGAGAGCAGGTGCCTAGAGACTATCGAATGACATTTAAGGATTGGCTGACAATGGACCCCAGTTGCCCTATGCGACCTGCGGAAGAGTTCTCAGACTCGTTCCCTCCCCACCCATATGCGTTGGAAATATGCCATAGCTGACCAACAAGTCCCGCTTATCCCTGCAGTCTTCTCCCATCTGTTTTCCTCCTTCTCTTCTGTTCTGGCTAGTCTGCTTGTCCGTGTCTCAGCCTGTCTCAGCCTGTCTCCACCCGGGTCCCCTTTTCTTATCCTGTTTTCCTTTCCCCTGCTCAGGCTAGTCTGCTTTGTCTGAGTTTGTTGCCTGATTCGGCTGCAGTCAAGTTTGGCAGCAAGGGGGTTGGTCCGAAAAGAGGATCGAGGGCAGTACACAGTAGGTGACATTAGGTGATAGGTAAGGAGGGTGGCTCTCCCGCCTTCTAGCCAGGGTATAGTCGGTGCATGTCTGTTCAGTCATTTTGGATTTCATTCAAGATTCATTCAAGATTCAATTTGCAGCCCTGTTTCAGTCCTGTTTCCATTTTATTTCCATTATGCTGCCAGCGGGGTGACTGATGGAGGACAGTGTTGAAGGGCGGGAAAGGCAGGGAGACGGCAGGAATAACCACTGGTGCCCCCCAGCGGCTCCTCCCGTTACCATGACCAGGCACAGGGTTGGAAAGGGAGAAAGAGGACCACCCCTCAGTCAAGAGTCAATAGGCGGTGTGGTTGGATTTTCCACGGCTTTGGTCGTATGCACACCTGCTCAGTCAATCCTCTGTCTTCCAGAGTAATCAATGCTGGCAGACACCTGCAAGACACCATACCATTCTCCTTCCTAGCATCATGCTGTATCATCTGTATCAAAAAAGGGTAGGGGGTGGGAGGAGCTAGAATATAGCTGCAGGTATCTGGCGCCGGTTTCTCGGTGAAGAGGTTCCCCCCCCTCAGTACCTCCTGCTCAGTCAATCCCCTGGATGCCAGGGCAATCAATGCTGGCAGGATCTGTCCCAGATTTGTGTCGTTAATTCTCAAATGTATCTCATGCATAAGGGACGTTGGACCCGTTTTCCAGCACGTGCTGCTCCCCACCAATAGATGGAGCCTAGCCCTAGGTGCTACCGGCGTTTGCATCAGCGTCGTTAGCACTGATGGGATTGTTTCAAAAAAAAAAAAAAAAAAAAAAAAAAAACACTCTTGGAAGGACAAGGTGAAGTTGTCCCAAGTTTTCAAGGAGGACCTGGTCTGGTGGCTGCAGCACTTGAAATACCTACCAGGGAGGAGATGGGGAGTCAGAATGGCCTCGGCCAGAATCCAAACAGATGCCTCAGCCTCGGCTGTGGGCGCTGTCATATTCCTTAGCTCAGGTGAAACCCTGAACGTTAGTTTTCCTTTACCACCCGAGTTTGTGACTACGTCCAGCATGCATAGAGAACTCTATTCAGTCACTGAAACTGTACTAATCCTCAGAAAGCAAGCACCACAGGAACTTTTCTCCAGGGCACTCCAATGCGTGGGAGACAACCAAGCAGTATTCTTCCTCCTCTCTAAACTGAGATCATCAGATGTCATTTTCAATACATTTTCAATAATTTATTAAGAATTATTGCTGAAATCCTGATAACCATGGACTGCCAATTGGTACCAATCTGGACTCCAAGAGAACTTAACAAGGAAACAGATGCGCTATCTAAGTCCACGGATTACTCAGACTGGGGACTCAGTCGGAAGAAAATCGAAGTACTTATCAGAGCATTCGGAGAACCTGTAGCTGATCTTTTTGCATCAGAAGAAAACTACATCTGCAAACCTTTCATTTCTGAATTCCTCTCACCAAATTGTCTGCGAGCGGATGCACTATCAACCAACTGGGATAGTTTGCCAGACCTTCCCTACAGATGGGTTTTTCCCCCAACTTGTCTTCTTCGGCAGGTCCTAGCAAGAATCAGGACTTTTGGAGGCGAATACCTACTCATCACCCCAAACTCAAAGAAGGCAAACTGGTATCCAGCCATCAAGAGGCTCAGAGTACTTAAGCAGATCAACTTCCGCAAGAAGCCAAGCAACTGTTTTCCATCAAGCAGAGTGCCGTCAGATGCCTTCAATCCGGCAAAGTCAGGACTGTCCGTTTTCAGAATCTTCGAGCCACCAATCAGCAGCACCCATACCCATACCGCATGAAGGAAGAAAAAGTCTTCCAGGTGCCCTGACTAAGCATCCGCTCAAGAGTCCACCCTGACCTTATTCCCTCTCGAACGCCCCCGGCCCTAAAGCTATGGCTACTTTCTCCGTCATAAATCCCAAACTCAAGCAACGCGTCTTTTAGCCTCTTATTAAAACCACTCAATGTAAGCGCAGTCTTTGTCCGTGTACTAGGAAACAGAGGTCCCCCATCCCGCAGGTCTATAGGAGGTCTGAGAGAGCTGTAACTCTCACGCAACTCTTCTATCAGTTCTAAGAAGGTTTCACCCGCTTCCCCATGCTCCTGTAACATTATGATTCCTTGCCGCCCCCTGCGTAGTGTCTTAGTAAAGGAAGGTTGTACCCGATGGATTTCTTCATCAATTTCTTTGCCCTGCAAACGCATTCCCTCCCCACCCCGCTGCCAGCTTTCCCATAAATATACCATTATGCAAAGATCCCGCAAAGATTCCGTGCGTCTATACCCAGTCTGAGTCCTCATTCTATACCGCATCCCTCTATGTATCATAGTCATTTTTTCCTTGGTCATCGGAGAAGCCTGCTCTTCAGTAACCCCACTTTGAAGAGCAAAATTGTGATATGCCCTCCGGTAGTCCCGTATCTTGCTACTACTGCATGGATTTCTGTCACCTTCCCTACCAAGTATCTGAAAGCACCAACTGAGGCAGTTGATACTTGACTCCAGTGTACTGCAAGCAGGAAAGGGCCGACCAGACCTATCAACAGTCAGGCATCTGGCACTAAGCTCAGGAAGCCACTGACCTTGCAGAAAAGCCAGTACATCAAGATCACTACAATCCTGAACACTCCGACCAACGCAGTTCCGAGCAAGCCACTCTTGCAACGATCTCAGCATTCGCCCTCGCTCTTTCTCGCTGTTCTTGGAGAGACCATACTCTGCTATCAAATCTATGGAAGCCATCAATCCTTCTTCATAGCAGCCTTCATGAGGATTCTTGGGTTGATTCTCAGCAGCAGCAATACTTCGATGAAGCAATCTCTCCAACCACCATCTCCTATACACAAATGAGGAACATTTGGTAAATGAAGGTGGAGAATTTGGGATGGTATGGAGGAGCATTGGGGGGGTCCCCAGGCTTTTTCCACTTTTTTTGGAAGGTGTCAGATGTCTGACTTGTGTAATAGTATCTGTAAAACTATCTTTCAAGCAACTATTGTTTTGTCAKYTTTTGAGTTACTATYTGTTTCATATTCCCCCTCCTTGGTTTTCTCTGTTGCATGACTTTAAGAACCCCTGCTCAGACCCCTGTCACTTCCTGACTAAATCCTACGCCTCCCGAACGCACACAGAAGGCGTAGCCTCCTTTTTTCGATTGGTCACTGATTTTGCTGTCACCACCTCAGCGGAAACTACGGTTTCATCATTTCACCAAAGAGCGGGAATTTCCAACTGCAGCAGGCAAGATGAGTCTGACACTTACCCCGGGTCTTGAGCAGCAGCTCCAGCAGGAGGGCAGATTTGACCTCCCTCTCTACCAATCGGATGCAAGGGCACCKGGGCAGCAGTACCGAAGGATGCACCAGTAGYGACCGTCAAGATTTGAGCCGTGGTAAGACTCCCCGTTTGGAGGACCAGCAAGGAGGCTTATTTCACTAARCTGGTAAGGTACCGATAACCCCTCTCCGGGGTAGCATTGTGGCGAGGGACCTGCAGGACCAAGATTCGGCCTCTCAAGGGCCCGGTAACTCGCAAGGCCGCCAGCAGCTGAAAACTGCCCTTCTAGGCTCGGCAGTACTTCTTGGCAAATCACTACAGCGTCAGGTGCATTTTCAACGATCGGATTTTCCCGTTGACCAGCGCCGCCGTGTGAAGCTTCAGCTCTGCAGAGAGACGCAAGAGACGTGTGAGACCTTCCGCTTCAGCCTTCGCGTTTTACAGCGCGAAAATCCGGGCCCACCCGCCCGTGCCCTCGGAGCATTGGGGGGTGCCCCAGGCTTTTTCCACTTTTTTTTTTTTTTTTTTTTTTTTTTTTGAGAAGCACTTGAATATGTATTACTCAAAGTCCAAAAGAGACGGGCCGGGAAACCCCACAATCACCCTGTAAAACTGGGGCCATTACCCAGATAGGCTCCCGGAAACCGGGTCCAGTGTCCCTTTTGGCCAGAAAAACAGCTCCCCAAAATGAAAAAAGTAGGAAATCAGACACCCAATCCGAATTTTACTCAGAGCTATTCTTACCACAAAGACCTTTCCTAGAATTGGTTAAACTGGACTCTATGGTGGGGAGCTAAAACGCTCCCCATGTCCCTGTGGGGACAACAACCAATGACAAAACTGAGGCCTACCATTAGAGTCCAGTTTAACCATGCTAGAATTCCTCCCCCGAGTATCCCAAAACCACTTCCTGGCCTTCTGAGTGCCTGGAACCTTGTGCCTGATGCAATCACTTGGAATTGTAATCCTGATCTGCTGAGTCACCAGCGCCTTCGTCTGAAAGTCTGTAGTCCCTGCTGACCTGAATAGCAAATTGTTGCGTTCTTCCCATATGATCTTCAGAATAATTGCCCTCAGGCATTGGGCTACGTAGATCCATTCGTGCTCTACTGTTCTCTCCTTATTATGAATGCCTGAGATTATCCATTCATCCGACCACTCGAAGGCATTTACTGTAATCTTTCAAGCAACTATTGTTTTGTCCATTCATCCGACCACTCAAATTTTCACTTTTTTTGGAAGGTGTCAGATGTCTGACTTGTGTAATAGTATCCGTAAAACTATCTTTCAAGCAACTATTGTTTTGTCATTTTTTGAGTTACTATCTGTTTCATATTCCCCCTCCTTGGTTTTCTCTGTTGCATGACTTTAAGAACCCCTGCTCAGACCCCTGTCACTTCCTGACTAAATCCTACGCCTCCCGAACGCACAGATTCGTTCAGGCGATAAATCCCGATAGGCCTGGACGAATCTGCCAGCATTTATGGCCTCGTCGAATCTGACAGGATATATGGACTGGACGGATCTGATCACCGTAGCAGATTCGTCCAGGCAATATATCCCGATAGAGAAAGTTTTTTTTTTTTTTTTTTTTTTTTTTTTTGAAATTTAGCTCGCCTCATGTTGGCAAGCTTAAAAAAAAAAAAAAAGAGCTCGGACTTCCAGAGCAGTGAGTCTTGCTGCGCCCCCTTCTGTCGCTCTGGTGTTCTACCGTCTATGCGCTTCTTCAGTGTTTAGGATACGGGGTTCCATACCCACTTACGATCCCCCATAGAGAAAGGTTTTGGCTAAGATCAAGTGTAGTATCCTTTTTTTTTTTTTCGGGAAAAGGTGAGACGCCGGTGCGACACGGGATCTGCCAGGCACCACTGGTTCTCTTGCCCATTTCGAAACTCACACGATGACCCCGGCGCCACTTTGTGTTTTCCCCCCCAAAAAAGGAAGAAGAAGGACAAGAAGGAGAAACGAAACAAAAAAGAGAAAAAAGGGCCAGTGTTCGAATCCAGACCCGACTAGGCAAACAGAATAAAAAATAAAGGAAAAGCATGCGCGCTAGCAAAGGCGGCTGCCCTGTGGGTGCTTCACCTCATTGCTTGGCCACAGGGGTATCGAAGAGTCTGCTTTATTGCTTTCTCTGGGCCTCTCCGGACGGTGCTCCTCCAGCCGTAGCGGTGAACCATTCTCTGCGCTTGCTTCTCGCTTGCTTGAGCCCACTCCCGTTCTTCTGGCATTTTTGGGTCTTTCTTCGACTGTTTTTTTTCCGTTCTGATAATTAGTAGTAATCAAGCCATCCTCCTCCCACCGAGTCCGAGTGTGCGCGGGCGCGAGTGACTCAGAGGACGAAGATGGCTGAGCATCCATGGCCGGGGTTAGATTATCTATGGCACGGTCGTGGTGCCTGTTTGCCTGGCTGCCAAAGCTTTCGGATGGTACTCCTCTCCCGCTCTTTCCTACTTCAATCCCTCGCTTGTGTTCTGCTGCTTGCGACGACTTCTAAGCGGGTTAATGGCGCCGCTTTCAAGCGACCGGTCCTTGGCCAATGGTCTTCGGCTGCCAATGCTCCTGAGCCGGGAGACAGCCAAGCCCGTCTTCTCGCCCTGCAGGTCAGACGCAATATTATGGCGATGGTGTCCACCGCCCCGCCTTCCTCGCCTCCAGTGGCCGAGTCGGAAGGGAGTATGACACTTCTTCAGCCCGAGCTCTTCGTCCCAGGCAACCAGAGCGTAGTGCCTCCCATAGTCGTTCATACCCCTTCTCCGGACTTTCAGACGACCGCTCGTGCGTGGTCGTGCTTTCATTTGGTTCGCGACTTCACGTTTCACCCTAACGGTAGCGAAATGTACTTCATCCTCGACAAGTTCTGCAACGCGGAAGAGCAAGTCCAAACTCGGCGGCTGTCGATACGAAAAGCCGATCTTGGGCGGGCGCGCCAAGGTTTCAAAAATAGTTCGGTACTCAGCTACTGGTGGCAGTATGGCGCAGGGAACGGGCTGAGTGAAACATCTGACTTTGTGTGGAGGAAGAATATCGCTGACAACATATCGATGGCGTTCGTGTACAGTCTCGACGTGAACAAAGAAGGAGACCAGCTGGTCACAGGGGCACGTCCGGGCATTGGGACTCAGTCGAGAGTGGTGTGGCTTTCCACGGCGACTGGCGAAAGAACGAGCGTCGAGATAACTGCGGACTTTGTATGGAGCGTGGCATTCAATCCGAAGAAGACGGAACTGTTCATCTCCGACGTCGCCAATCCCGTTCGGATTCTGTCGATGGCGGTCACAGAGTCCGGGAGGGTGGACGGCGGCCCGAAATTGAACGAAGTCTATAATTTCTCCAGCGGCGACCCGAACATTACATGCGCTGGATTCGACTGAAGTAGCTTTCTGCCGGACGAGAGCTGCCTTTATTTCGCCGATTGGTTCTACGACCGCGTCTGGGGAATCGATCCTCGCTCCCCTTCCGCGAGGGCCACTCTTGTGGCCGGGTCGGGCCAGAGCGGGTCCGTCGATGGCGATGGTCCCAAATCTCAGTTCGATTTCGTGGCGACCGCAGTAGCGACGCCGGACGGATGTAACGTCTTCGTTACCGAGCATAGCAGCGGTTTTCTTCGGTGGCTGAAGCTGGACGCGCCCTGCAGCTCGGCGACCAGTGTACAGAAGGTCGGCAGATACAGTGCCGCTGGGTTGTGGGGATTGGCGCTTCGCCAAACCGGCAGCGAACTGCGTCTGTTCGTGGGAGCGGACGATGGTTCCGTGTTCGAGCTGACAATCAACAATTCGCAGCTCCACTCTTGCGCGCCTACTCCTCCCCTGGTCGACCCGACCTCCTCCCCAGCTCCCGCGGATATGCCTTCGTCTTCTGGCCCTTCGCCTTCAGGACCTTCGGCGGTTGTCCCCACCTCCCGAGGAACTAATTTAGGTCTCGCGGTAGGGCTGCCCTTGTCGATCTCAGCCTTCCTGGCGCTCGCCACGTGCCTTAGTGTCCTTGTGTACAGAGCGCGCCGTAATGGGGGGAAACAGCCGAATGCAATAGGGAGCAGAACCCTCGACATTGGACGGACGAGCAATTGGACCACGGAGGGGGGTGCATGCCAGGAAGGGGGGAGAGGTGGGGGACTTCACCCCTTGCAAGTCCGCCGATTCGAGCTGGCAGCACTGCAGCAGTGCACAGCCGATTTCAGCAAGGAGTACCGCATCGGGGAAAAAGGAGCGTTCGGCGAGGTCTACTGGGGCTCGATCGACGATCAGGATTTGGCCATCAAGGTGATGACGGGGGATCTGACAGAGGGAAAGAGAAGCATGTTCCTGGCAGAAGTGAACACGTTGAGCAGACTCCATCATGCCAACCTTAGCGGACTGGTGGGATTCTGTGACGAGGGGAGTCGGTCGATCTTGGTGTACCCGTATTTCCCGGGGGGAAGTCTGTATGCTCGCCTGCACCACAGAGAGAAGGCAGTTCCTGGAAGACCTCGTCTCTCTCCTCTGACACTCGTTGAGCGGATGTGTATCGCCTGGCAGATTGCCAGGGGGCTCAGTTACCTTCACGGGGGAGCGGACCCGCCAGTCATTCACCGCGACATCAAGAGCAGCAACGTCCTTCTTGGTGATGGCGCTGGGGACAAGCTGCGCGTCGTGCTCGCGGATTTCGGACTAGCGACCATCGGAGAAAGAGTGTTTGGCGGGACAACACGCGACACCGCGGTGAAGACCTCGCACGTGGGCGGGACTTTCGGGTACATGGCGCCGGAGTACGTGATGAGCGGAATCCTGTCGGAGAAGATCGACGTGTACGCTTTTGGCGTGATCCTTCTGGAACTGCTTACGGGCCGAAAGGCTGTCACAGAGGCGCCGTCCGGTAACGGGTCATGGCAAACGCTAGTGGACTGGGCAAGGCCGTTCTTGCGAAGCGAATTTATTGCTGGTGGAGGGATGCCGCAGGCAATTCTGGACTCTTGCTTGCGTGACGAGGTGGCGGGCCGCGCATTCCAGCAGATGACGATGGAGGCACTGCGTTTAGCGAGCAACTGTTTGATGATGGAGCCTGCTGCGAGGCCAACGATGACCGAGCTAGCGGAGAAGCTTGGGGATCTGTTGATAGAGGCTCAAGTCAATATAAGGAGGGTATGAGCGTCTTGCGCAGACCACATGGACAGATGCCTCTTCAGCGGATGGAGAGGACACTGCAGCGGAGATGCTGAAAACTGTTGGCAAACGGGGGGAGGGCATAGGTAGCAAAAGGAGTTGTGATGGCTGATTGGAAGAGGAAGTAGAGAGCCTTGGGGGCTAATTAATTACGACTATTAATTAATGGTATAACGGAGGATAACGGATGCGTTTGTTAAACAGTGCCTGCCTGGAGGTTCGATTGCGCGGGGGCGGGGTGGGGGGGGCGGGAGGAACGAGAGAGAGAGAGAGAGAGAGAGAGAGAGAGAGAGAGAGAGAGAGAGAGAGAGAGAGAGAGAGAGAGAGAGAGAGAGAGTTGGGTTTGTGGTGTGGGAGTGAAACCTGAA